AATGTTTTCTTAATTTCTCTACCTACTGATGACGACGGAGCTTGTTAATATTTAGGTCTTTCTTTATTTACCCCCGAGCCCGTTTAATACCATTTACCATCCATGTCGGTCTATGTCGCCATCTTGTGGCTGATTCGTAATAACTACACTCAGAAAAGAAAAAGATTGTGTTCCTCTCACTGAGAGTTAAATATGATGTTATACTGTAGAGAATAATGCAGCTGAATGACGTCGCATCTGACAAACTGTACCGCACTCGACCTTAAACAGCGGTCACGTACTGTCATCAACAGCATAAGCCAATGATTAATAAACAAATCTAAAACAACACGTTACTCGCTAAGATAACAAGATTGTAAAAATGGGAATTATAAATGTCTTTTCTTTGTTTTGATATCGGTATTATATATCTGCCATTAGCCGGCCTGCTCTCTAAATATCGGCTTCAGCCAGTGAAAAACCAATATCGGTCGACCATTAGCCTTAACTCTCAAACAGCCCTTTGAAGGCCAAAATGTCCTCACTACCAAGGTCTAAAACTCAAACTGGTCCTCACAAAGACAGATGTGCGCGCACACACACACAGACACACGCATGGTCTCAGCAGTTTTCACACAGCTAAAGAGAGTTTTCTTCCATCAGCGAGTTAAAAGAAAAGAAAGAGCACTTTGATGCCCTTTAACCATCACACAGCAAAAACGGTAACAAGGAGCTCAAAACACCTGAACTCTCTTTTCCACACACACACACACACACACACACACACACACACACACACACACACACACACACAGCTTCAACAACAGACCTGATTACAACAAAGGTGTTGAGCTCTGAATGCTGACAGGAGAATAGCTGAGCAGAGAAGAAGAGGAAAGAGGAGAGGTGGTGAACAGGGATTATAAAACTGAGTCAGAGAAATGAGAAGAAAGACTGGAGCTAAAAAAAGAGAGGAAAAGAGGGATGAAAGGGAACAAGAAAGAAAATGAACCAGCAATAACACAAAATAGTAAGTTTCTATCCACCTCACCACATTTGGAATATGCAGAAAAACACTAAAAGGATTGTGTATAGTGTGTGTACAAATTTTAGAGCTTCAGAAATAAAAGACGCAGTCAAAATTGTGAATGGTGGAATTAAACAGAGTTCACACAAAGCCCTGATCACTCAACATCCAGTGCTCCCTAATGATCTTGATGCTGTAAGAGAGCAAATCCCTGCAGCAGGTTCAACATCTGGTGGAAAGCCTGAAACCAGAAGAGTGGCGACTGTTAGAGCAGCAGATTAATGCACATTGTTGAAGGAGGGTGCAATCATCAGGTGTCCACATACCTTTGTTGAGGTGTCTTCTTTCCCTTGGAGAGATAAAATGAGTGAGAAGCTGCTCATCCTGCTCGAACTGATATAGCAGCCACTTCAATCAGACAGGAAGAGATTAGTCTGTACACACACACACACACACACACACACACACACACACACACACACACACACACACACACACACACACACACACCAGAGCCACTTACAGAGTTATTAACTACACACACTCCCACATTTCATCTCACGATCACATACTCAACCAATTGTGGTCTCTCTCTCTAAACACACACAAACACACCTCAATACTTCTGCATTGAAGCAGCAGCTCCGGATGTAATCTCATGATGGGTGTAAGCTCTTTATTTGACCTGCCACTCTCTTTCTCACACACACACATAGCCTGAACGCAACAATACAAACTCTTTAAACACTTAAAGTGGTCATATTATGCTCATTTTCAGGTTCATCATTTTATTTATTTTTTGATACTGGCATCGGCTGATATTCTTAATCGCCACCAATGTGTGTTACAATTATGGCTAAGACCCAGCCACCCAGACAAACAATCTCTTTTTAGCTGCTTGTACTCATGATCTTTTTCTTTTGATCATAACCCAAAGTCAGAACTATAGGTGAGGGATGGAACGTAGATTGACCGATAAACAGAGAACTCTGGCTTCAGGTATGGCCGAAAAACCAAGAGCTTCAGCTTCAGCTGCACCAATCCACCTGACAATCTTCTGTTTCTTCTTAACCTCACTCATGAACAGTTCTGTGGGACACTTGAACTCCTCCACTTGGGGCAAAAAGTTATATCCAACCTGAAGTACCATGAGTACTTTTGCATCAGACTTATAGATGTTGACTTCCATCCTTAGTACTTTATACAGCGCTGAAGTTAGCGGATGTACTTCTTGAGCTCAGCTGTGATATTTTCTCCACAAAAACATAACTAACAAGGCACAACTATGCGGAAGCCAACGCCCACTGAGAACATACTTAACTTGCTGCGTAGTATTACCAATTCCAACCAACTCGAGTCGTGCAAGGACTCATACTAAAAACGGCAGTACCCCATACTCATATTGTGTCATTTATTTTGACAAACAACAACAAATTAGCTGTACATCTGTCAACACTGGTTCTATTCTGAATATCCTTAAATACAAAAATGAAAATCAGTTTCTAAATCACAAAAACAAAATTCAATCACAAGGCAGAGATGTCGTTTTGAGATCAAACTCAATTCTTTTTTATTTAAAGTGGTGGGACATATTCAAAATTTATAAACAAACTTTCATGCTAACTTTGAAATAAATAGGGTCACATTTATTAAAACTAAGTCATTTAGCTTTCTTTTACTGCTGCTTTCCTGATTTGTGGCTTTGATTTGGTTTAATCCTCTGGACTGTTAAATAAATAGGTCTTCTTTTAGATTGTATTATTATTTCTTTGGCATAAATTTTCATCAGTAAAACAATTACAATCTGAAATTAAAAACAGACTAAAAGAAAATCACATTGCAGTGTGGTTTTGACTTGAGATGGTTCGCTGAATCATAAGAAATCAAGCACAAATATTACAAACTGGAAGTGGAATAGACATCACTCTTTAAGTAATTCGACAAATCTACCCTTTTCCTGAAATAACACCATAACCTCTCCTCATATCAACAAAATGAAGTCGAGAAACATGTACTGAGTCGTTACTTAAGTAACTTTATATACAGATTTTCTGTTAATCAGCCTGTAAACAAACAAAATGCCAAAAACTTAAAGACTACAACAGCAGACCTAAACACAAACTGGACTAAAGGATCATAAAACATTCTCAGTAAATGTGAGGTAAAGATTTACACATTATGATAAAAACACATTTTAAAGGCGTTGAAAAGTCCAAAGTGCCCAAACTGACACAAATACCTGGACAAGAACATTCATCAGTTGCTCAGTCTGAAAAAAATCCATAAGCACAAACAAGACATGAACATAAAGAAAGTTATTTACCTCTGTGTACCTTGTTAGATCAGAGACAAGATAACAGATCAATCCAACTACTTTAACCCTACAGAGTTGGAGTGAAGACAACTGTGAAAACAGTCATGTCCTCCAAACACCTCGTCTCTTTGTGTGCTTTCAATTAATCACTGAGTGCGAATACGTTTGTTGTTTAACTTCGAAAATAACGTCATTTACAACAGTGACTCCAGCCTGCTTCTAACTTTAAAGAAGTAGAGAAAGAAATACACACACCTCTCGCTTCCATCCTCCTCTCTTGCACTCAGACACCAAAAGATAACTCTGAAGCTTTTTTTCTATTACTTGGATTTTTCATATTTTACCCAATTGACCGTGCAACTTGAAATATTTGTAAATAATTGTAAAAAAAAATTCCTGTCAATTTTGTTGTCCAAAACAAATGTTTAAATGTTGTTTTACTTTCTCTGCATACTTTGCATATAAAATACCCACCATGCAATCATTTTTAATTGTAGAATTTAAAGTGGCTTCCATGAGATAAATCTCCCTATATTTTCTGTAACGCTTGGTTTAACCATTAATTTCCTAATAATTTCGGACTCTTTTTCTTCACAGGACCATAATGTGAAAGCACGATGAGGAGACCATGAAATTGGAAACATGTCTAATGGTTCCCTCTGCCCTTTTAATTAATTTTCTTTGAACTCTTTTCCCAGTGAGTAGGATTAAAATGCAAACAAGAAAGAGGTATGTAAGTTTAATTTTAAGCAAAAATATCTTAAATCTGCCCTCAGAAGCCTAATCTGATTCATCCTCATATTTCTTCCTTTTTCAGCTTTAGAAATCTACAAAAACACAGTTGCAAAGTGGGTCAGGCAAACTGGTAAACGTGGAGAAAAAAAAACAACTTCCGATGACCAGAAGCTCAAAACTCTCAGCTTTCTTATGATGTCAAGCCAATTAGGCGACATCAAAAAAATTGTTCCCCTTTCTCCTCCTCAGATGACCATTAACTCTCGACACCCGGAAAATAACTTGTTCGTAAACTGCTTTAAATCTACCTTTAAGGTCCCTCTTCCTCCCCTTGGACAACAAAAACATGAAAGGGCTCAGCAGCTACAAAGATTCCTCTGGAAGAAGAAGAAAGCTAAGGCACCCGTCCTCCTCCCTCATCTCTCTCTGTTTTTGGCGCTCCTGCAGAGATGAGCGGTGTAATGGGAGGATGAAAGGAAAATAAAAACCAAGACTCTAAAGTAGTGGAAAAGGCTGTTTTTTAATCTCTCTGTCCTTTTACATTTTCTATTCTTTCTCTGTAATTTATTCTAATGGAACTCCTTACACTTACCAAACTGAGCCTGACATAGGCCGAACCACTTAACATTTTACCCCAAAGACGAGGGCATTATCGTGTCTGGTGAAACTATTTCTGTCACTGAGGAGACGATCACTTCAGAAGGCTGAGTTATTAGGGAGGGAAGGATTGCCTGTTTCATTTCATGTCTGAAACTTAAATTTGTCCTTATATGGATGTAGATTTGTTAGAAAAAAATATCTTTATATCCTAAAAACTGAAACCAAATGGAAAACAATTACACCGGCTCTCACCTGATTGATGGCAGGATTGTGTTAACGTCAATACATATGTGTGGATGTGATATCTGTGTCTCTGGTAGTAGGAAAAAGCGATAGAAGAGGACATTTAACAGAGGCCGAGAAATTACTTTTTATCCGTTTTGATTTGTCCTTTTGAAAAAATCTAAACAGTGTCTCTGTTTGTTCTCTTTTAGTTTAGTTTTCTAAATCAGAGGCGATAGAGAGAAGCGGCTGAGCAGAAACTAAACATTGTCCGTCTCTCCCCCCGTCATCTCTGACTGAGATACAATTTAAAATAGAGGGAGGAATGAAACAAACAGATGGAAGACGTGACCAGTTCTGTTAGTCCGTCTCACCGAAACCTCTGAAGGCTCTGAAAGTCAGCCAGCGGCAGCACATTACAAAAACACTGTTGGGAAATATCTGGTGGTGTAATCATAATAAAGACTGTCCTGCCTTTTCTCCTCCTTGTCCTCAGATCGTCCCGCTCACAGCTGAATCTCAGATGAGAAAAGGTCTCCTGCAACAACATGTCACATGTTTACTCCTAATGTGAAAATGAGAACAGATGATGTGTGTTTCTGTGTGTAAATGGAAGGACTTTTACTGCGGCCCCAAAAGTTAGAAAACATCTTTGATATATCCAAGCATAAATAACAAAAATGTGAGAAGACATAGTGATGAAGATACTGAAGACAGATAAAGACTTGTTTAAATTGAAGGCTCGTTATGGTGACAGCAGCCGCAAGCACCTTATGAACTTCAGGTTTAGCCACACGTAGCCACCTACCCTGCAAAGTACAGGTTTGTTTTAGACATTGAGCAGTTAGGGCCCGTGTCCACCAAAGCGTTTTTTACCAGCTGAAAACGCCACCTGCTGTTCTTAAAACACCTAGCTGGGAGCGCTAGGGTGCGTTTTGGAGGCGCAGTGTTTTTTTTTTTTTTGAGACGCTGTGGTGGCTGTGATACATAATTTCCGTGGAGACGATGTGTTGCAAGTAGGGTAGCCTACTTAATTTTAGTTAATGTAAACGTAGGCCTACTTGCTCTGGCCTTTGCTCTGCAAGAAGAGAAGGCTGAAACATGAGAGCACAGACTGTCCGTACGTGGGTTCACGCTCAGCGCCTCGTCACGCTCCTGCTGTTCGCGGCGTTCCCATTGGAATGAATTGAAAAAAGATGCTGGTGTCAAAAAAATAAACGCTTTGGTGGACACGGCCCCTTATCATATTGCATCCTCAACTCAGAGGCTGTAAATATCCGTGCCCTCGTTCTCCTTGCTGTACTGTTGTTGTGTTTACAATGGAAACAACAGAGACGGTGACTGCAGCCACTAAGTAGCCGTGTTTTCATCTAATTGTCAAGTGAATTTAAAGCAAAGATAAGTTTTCATCAACTGGTTTAGAGCGCACTCTAGGCAAGACTACATTACGCAGCTACAGCATAGGGTACACAGCTATGGAACAGGATACGCAGTAGGGTATGCGGCTACAGAACAGGGTACGCGGCTACAGAACAGGGTACGCAGTAGGGTACGCGGCTACAGAACAGGGTACGCAGTAGGGTACGCGGCTACAGAACAGGGTACGCGGCTACAGAACAGGGTACGCAGTAGGGTACGCGGCTACAGAACAGGGTACGCAGTAGGGTACGCGGCTACAGAACAGGGTACGCGGCTACAGAACAGGGTACGCAGTAGGGTACGCGGCTACAGAACAGGGTACCCAGTAGGGTACGCGGCTACGGAACAGGATACGCAGTAGGGTACGCGGCTACGGAACAGGATACGCAGTAGGGTACGTGGCTACAGAACAGGGTACGCGGCTACAGAACAGGGTACGCGGCTACAGAACAGGGTACGCGGCTACAGAACAGGGTACGCAGTAGGGTACGCGGCTACAGAACAGGGTACGCAGTAGGGTACGCGGCTACAGAACAGGGTACGCAGTAGGGTACGCGGCTACAGAACAGGGTACGCAGTAGGGTACGCGGCTACAGAACAGGGTACGCAGTAGGGTACGCGGCTACAGAACAGGGTACGCAGTAGGGTACGTGGCTACAGAACAGGGTACGCAGCTACAGAACAGGGTACGCAGCTACAGAACAGGGTACGCTGTAGGGTATGTGGCTACAGAACAGGGTACGCAGTAGTGTATGTGGCTACAGAACAGGGTACGCAGCTACAGAACAGGGTACGCAGCTACAGAACAGGGTACGCAGCTACAGAACAGGGTACGCAGTAGGGTATGTGGCTACTATCTGTATAAACTATATATAAATCTATATAAACTATCACTAACCGTAATGACTGTGTCTCACCGTCAGTAGAAAGGCGACTGGGAGCTGATGTAGAGCCTCTGTGTTTGGGAGGCAGGGGAGCTGAGTGTCGACAGAGATGAGAGGGGGAAGGGGGAGGGCGGGGGAGGAGGAGGGAGGCAAGAGGGGAAGGCTCTGCTGCCGCAGGTCAGCACCCCGGGGCTGGTGGCGGAGGGGGGGACGGCGAGCGGAGGAGAGGGGCTGCTGGGAGAATCGCAGGAAGCTCCGCTCAGGATGGACGAGTCTGGAGGAGAGGAAACAGAGAGGAGAGGGGGTGAGAGCTGGAGGGAGGGATAGGGATAAAGGGAAGAGAAAGAGAGGGAGATAAGGAGAGTCCAGAGAAACAGGAGCAGATATGATGAGAGGAAAGAAAGAAAGGAGACTCAAGATAAAGAGACAGGAAGAAAAATAAGCAGAGAAAAAAGAATCTGAGTCCCTCCAGGAATTTTAGATCGTCAAGGTAGAATAAATATTTAGCTTTAATCTCCACAAATACACTTCCTTGTACCTACGGTGGGTAAGACTGTGATTCCCCTCAACCTTCTCAGGCAGAGCTTGACCTCTGATTTACAGCTTACAAAACTGAACCGCTTCCAAAAACACAGCCTACCTCGAAATAATCATTTGGTTCATGGAGCACGTTGGCAGCGCTACACGGGAAGGCAACAAAGGTCACATTAAAGACCCAATTATGGGATAAAATCGCTTCCTGGCTAACAGATAGTAAAAAGGTAATTCCTGAGATCTGAGGAGATTTATCCCTCAAATCATAATTATACATATTTAAAAACACATTTGAATGCAAACAGCACTGTCATTTACCGTCTTGTCTTTGACTGAGGTTCAATTCTGCCATCTTTTTAAGAAGAATATAATTTAACCCGGTGAGTTTTCTGTCAGTTGCACCACTACTAAAAGCCCTCTTTACTTTTCAAGACATGACAGCCCTGAGAATATAATGCCCCTGGTTAACATCATTTAAAAAGTTTGTCATTATGCTTGCTATGAACTTTAACTGTTTAACAGGCCTTCATCTATAGGAATAATAATAATCACAATTTAAATGGTATTGGCCAGTGTAAAATCACAATTATTTTCCTCAGATCATAAAGCCTTTCTGCAAATTCACTGACTTTGGATGGCAATTATCACAAAAACAATCCAAACAAGGCTTCCTGCAGGGACATGGCGAGGAGAGATGAAAAAGGCCTTAGAGGAAGGCAGAGGGGAGGGAAAGAAGATACGGAGCAGAAAGGGAAGACACTTTGCATCTTGTGGGTTCAGCTCTATCAGATATTCAGCTCCCCCTGGAGCTGTGAGCACAATACAAAATAGATGCAGTGTAAGAGAGTTTCATTAAAAGCGTCCACCACAGGGCTGACTTCCAGTATCCAAGGCACTCACAACCTCCCTCTTCCAGTTTTCAAAGCAACATCTCATGTTAAAAAAAACATTTTTAATTGCACTAGGGTCGGCTGGTGGTCGGAGCGTCAGAACGCAGAGACAGCAGGGAGCAAAAACCTGCTTTCTGCGAGTCAATTAAGAAAAACATTTTTACTGTGAATTTCATTTCAGCATCTTTGTGGTCTAAAATGCCCAATCTTCTCGCTCCTTCTCTGTGTGTCCTTGTCATACTGACATGTAGACTTCTTTAAGTCCCACATTTTACTGCATGGTTGAACTGATGCTGCACTCAAGCCCCATCTGAAAGAGACACATTTAGTCTTCTGATCTATTTTCAGAGGGTTGGTCTTCAGGACAGAGAGCTGTGTGTTCCAAGAAAGGCATGATGGGGGATTGCTCGGATATCTCTGTATCCAGCAAAGCGAGTCAGTGCATGACCAGAGAATGGTGCTATGGGGCCTCTGTTACTCTGTCTGTCGCAAACAGACATTTCAAACTCAAACTGGAATTTCAAAACTCAGTCACCACTGCACAAAAGACTGGATCAACACTGCGGTAAGGATAAAATACTGCATTAAACAGTGCAGTTCAGAAGTTATAAAGCCACCACCGGGCCAATGACAGCAATGTTTTGTCTGAGCTGTATGGAGAATCTTTGCCCTAAAGTGAAAATGAAAGAGCAGCTCCTCCCTCATTCCCACCACTGAGGTGCCCTCCTGCTGTGCCAAGGCCCCGATGCCCACCTGCTCCAGGTGTCCTGATACTTGGTGAAATAAAGTTAAATAAAGAAAACAAAAATACACACATCTGTAACAAATTTGACAGACCTAAGAGTACGTCCACACCAAGCTACCTGAATCTAAAAATTGCAGTTTGTGTTAAAAACAATACGTGTCCAGAACATAAGAAATCCACACTGAAATACAAAACTCTCTATTGACCGGAGCGCAAACAACTACAGCTGTGTTTGTGATCAGCTACACTGACATATGATTTGAGGGATCACAGAGTGAGACAGAGGTGGGAAAAAGACCAGGCTTACATCATCATCAGGGCTGTGCGATACGACGCTATCTAGAAAAATGTCTATAGTTTATAATTATGCTCCATCGTTTATTTCGTTGTGTCGCAAATTCCACACTTTACCGTAATATTTTGGTGAGGGAACGGCGCTTTGCACCGCGGTGAAGTTAGTTTGAAGTTGGAATTCAACATCCATCGAATGTCCAACATAAAAACTAATATCCAACTTGAAACCAACTTCACCGCAGTCTGTTCCTCCACGTGTGTTGGGGTTGCGGGAAAGAAATTTGCATTAAAAATGAGGGACGAGCCACACAACACTATCCAGTCATTATGTGTGTGTCAGTCAGGTAACGTTAAATGACTTGCCCACGGACGTACAGCTTACTGTAGTTCAACAAGACATGCTGCTGTTGTGATGTTAGCTGTAGCAGCAGGAGAGCTGTGAATGTCACTGTCTGGAGCTGGAGCCGGGGTGTTTACTACCTGAGGTGTAGGGGTGTGTGTGAGTGTGTCAGAGTGTGGGGAGAAGAGAATTCGAGGCAGGTGCAAAGCATACTTAAAAACAATAAGAATGTTCGTGGTCATTAAAACCTGAACTTTTCTTTTTGCTAGGGGGGCGGGGGTTTTACAATCACGATGCCGGCTCAACATCGTGATGTCTGTCAGCCATCGCCGATGGCCCAAACCTACTTTGCAGCAGGTCAGTTTGCTAATCCACAACCTAGCTAACATTAGTTATATTACTTGCTGTGTCGTTGTTCACTCTATCATGGTATGGGTCATGGTGCTGTCAAGTTACCTCACCTTTATAATGCAGAGACATTACCTGGGTTACAGTTGGAAATCCCATATTTCATAAAATTTACAAAAAAAATTATCGGGATATGAATATTTTTTTTCCTATCGCACAGCCCTACATCATCATATCCCAAAAGCTCAGTTTTCCTGATCTGCAGTTAGGTTGGAGGTATTAAAACAGGTGTGAATTCAGCCCATGGACCCAGCTTTCAGCTACGATTGTTCAGTGACCTGCGATCCGTCACCGGCAAAATCCCAGCGCAGCTTCTGGACTCGACCACTGCAGCTGCTGTCTGCCAGCCAACTTCACACGCTAACAGAAGCAACGTAGTAGCTTAGCACCAACCAGTTTAACAGAACAGACCGCGTCCTCCATCTGCACAGTCGGAACACAATCAATTAGGTAACTGGCTATCAATTTTCTTCTTCTTTAAGAGTGGTGGTAATTATTAATAATGACTATAATTATTATATTATTTAATGTAACTACTGATGTCATTTAAACCCTAATTGCCAACACACAGTGTTAACACGAATGCTTTCTCCTAGATCACTGTCAAACCACTTTGGGTAACTAGACGCTCTAAATGTGAATGATTTAGTAACGCAGGTGTTTACATGCAGATAACTTCACCTCTGCAGGTGATGTTTATTTTCAAATATCTCTATTTCAACAGAACTCCTCAAAGGTATGAGATTCTGTAGCCAGCCAGGCTTTGAGAGACGCTGGCGGAGGCAGTGCTGTGATTGGCTCTGGGGGAGCTCCAGATGGCACGAGTTCAGACTCTTAACAGCTGCCGTCACTTTCTGTCGTATCTGCTCTTGAAGTCAAACAAGTTTTCTTTTGTTTGATTCAAATATTCCTACAGGATTCAAGTGATCTGGTAATTAAAGAAAGTGTGACACCTCCTGAACTTCTGAAAACTTCTCTTACTGCCACCCAAATCAGTCGGGTGATGACCTGCATGACTAAAAGAAAAGGAGGAACAGAGCTTCCTCTTATCGCGTATAATTTCTGTACTGTGGTGTTCAACCTACTTCAGTTTCCTTTATCTGCAATCTGGATATGAAACACAAGAGGAAGAGGAAACAATAATGTGAATCTGAATAAATGATGGCGGTTAGATTAAGACTGTAAGAATGTAATAATGCAAACGCAGATTATTGTGCCGCTTCAGCTCCAGGCTGCCGGAGCCAATCCAGTTCTGTCTGCCCTGCTGTATGAATACAGATAAGTGTTTAAAATGCATGAATAAAGTAATGGGATGTCATCCTATACTACCTGCTGCACTGGTTCTATGGACTGTAGGTTATTAACGTCGCCTCACGTTTTGATAGTGCCAACAACAGTTCCCTCTGCACCAGTGTAAACAAAATTAACTCCAGAGCTTCTACTGTATCTGGAGATTAAAGTAAATTGAATTATAAATTGATACTTGGGTTACATGGAGAGAGAGTGGCTAACAGGCCAGTTAAGTCAATATCAATGGTGACAGCTCCGAAAGCAAGTCGCTGTGGGGGAGAAAAGTCCTATTTAACATTTAAATAAAACATTCTAGTGCACTCGGAGAGGAGAAAGGGACTGAGCCAACCTCCCAACACGTCCCCTCCAATACAAACTGAGCACTGTTTCTTCTGCTTCAGCCATAGAAGTAACCATGTGCCTCTTTCTTCTTCTTCTGTCCTTCACTGTGCTGCACTTTCCATCCTTGCAACACACGCTGACTGTAACATCCTTTTAAACAGTAGTTGCAGCACACTGGGTGTGTGTGTATATATATATAATATAATCATCTTTTCTTTTTTTTTAGCTTTTTATCATTGCTTTTAATGAAATATTTCCATTTAACTCTTAACCCTGATTGTAACGCTAACTTATTATATTTTATGTTGCGTTTAAACTTTTTTATATTTCCCTGTTGCTTTTATGTTTTATGTAAAGCACTTTGAATTACCTTGTTGTTAAAATATGCTATACAAATAAACTTGCCTTGCCTAAGATTCTCTTCCTTTTACTTGCGCTCTTTTCTCTTTACATGTCGTTAATATCGTTACGAGAGCCTGAGGACAAAGAATTCATCCCTTCACACAGGCTGTTGCCTACTCCTTAAAAGTACATAATAAAAAAGTCGGCCTAGCATGTTAATAAAAAGTAAAATTACTCACTTTTGATTTTCCTGTTTTAGCATAAGAACCAATGTTCCTAACAACATTATATTATTAATTATTAATAAGAGCTCCACAGCGAGGACGGAGAATGTTGCGCACCGGTGTACAGATTAAGATATTGTTTCAATAAGCATTACCGAGATAAGTGACAATAAATCGTCATTTTGATTTCAGGTGATACAGGTCTTCACCCTGAGCCAACGCTGACATCACAACAAAGCTGAAGTTAGCTCATTTTGGATGAAGTCATCTTACTGTAGCTAAAAGCAACATTTCAAGTGGCAGCAACTAAAAACAAAGGGCTTACCTCAGTGTGCATTACTACCAGAGTCTCTAAACATGACATCAAGCAGGATCCTGTGATTGGAGTAAAGGAAATAGAGATCGCCAAACAAAAACTCTTCTTTTCACTGACAGACACCTGCTGAAGTAGGAAAAGGCTTGTGTTTACCCACCGACATGGCCAGGTAGGCTGTCACTTCAGTGCAGGCTGGAAAAGTCCACCTGTCAGGCCCTTGAAGCCGGCAGCTAATCATCACAATAATGTGAGCAAATGTGTCGGTTTGGCTACCATGTGCTCTACAGCTTAAAACTAATTTTCCTCGCTGACAGAAACAAACTGTGTGTGAGAAATTTGGTTAATGACTCGTTGGGATCCTTTCCATGATGTCGGCAGACACCTGGTGTGACAGTCTGAGCCTGTTGGTGGCAAAAAGAAGCACTTTTTGTAGACGTCATTTTGATGGCCGCAACTTTCCCAAAAGGAATACGTGACTCTAAATAGCTCTTAGGTGTGAGTGTGTGGATGTGACTGGTTGTTTGTCTATGTGTGGCGCAGCGCTGTACTGGCGACATGTCTATAGTGTACCCTGCCTTTCACCTGAAGCCAGCTGGGATCGGCTCCAGCCCCCCGCGACCCTGTACACAGGATAAGCGTTTGACGATGGATGGACTTTAAAGGATAAATTCCTGTGCTAAGTTCTAATTAACTTTTCTGAGAGGAGCAACGGAAAAGCATCCTGATCGGAAACATCACTTGCATGGGAGGTTCACGACATCTGTGATATCGCTGAGGTGAGGCACCTGCAGAGCCTGTCTGGCAAAAGATCCAGAAGTATCCGCTGTCGCACCACCAGACTTCAGAGCAGCTTCTTCACCTCAGGCTGTGAGGCTCCTAAATTCCACCCTCAGCCCTGCACCACGTACAACAGCTTTATTTCTATGACTCATACAGTCGATGGATGAATATAATATCATTTTTCTATATAACCTTTATTCTGTGAGCAGCATAAAGGGAACTCCAACTTAATCGCGTTATACAGCCCCGTGTTGTAAAACGATAAATACATCTACCCTGTACCTTGTAAAATGACACGAAGGTTCCAACAGGAACATCCTGTGCCAGAACGTTAAGCTCCTCCGCCCATATGAAGCCATACAGCACAGACTGCCTCACCTCTGCCTGAGCTAACAAGTCTACTTGTTTATTCATATAGCATGTGGCTGTATGTGTGTGTAAATACACACACATACAGCCCACGCTGAAGCCTTGACGGATCGTATAGTATCTGAAGGAGAAATGTCAGCTCGTGAACACAAACCATGTGAACGTTAAGCTGGATTTATGCCTCTGTGTCAGGTGTAAAGCAGCGTGTGTGTGTGTTGAATAATACCCAGGTTCCACAGCGCGGTCTGTGCAGCAAGCTCTTTGGCATCATCCAGCAGCACACACAGCTTGTCCGGGATGTATGTGCTTCGTGTTGACGGCATCACCACCTGCACACACACATTATGATGAGCACTTTTGGTCCTCAGTTTGTTTGTTTTAGATTTATTGCTGACACTCTGTATACAAATAAATATGTACGTATGTATTTAGCCCGTGTTTATTATTCTGTTATTTCTCTCTAATGGCTGCTGCCAGCCATATTTCCATTAAAAAGGCTTTACAGTATGTTTTAATTTATTTTTTATGCATGTATGATGCATGCATCTGTAGATAAAAGCTATACAGTATATATGACGTCATAGATAGACAAGCCGATCGATCACAATAGACGTCGTTGTCCATGCGCAGCAGTTAAACGTGTAATTGTGCGTAGGGATTGGTGTAGGTACCTTGTACAGGAGCAGCAGCTTTCCGTCCTGCCCAGGTGTGGAGTACAGGTGGTACTCCGGCTGCGACCAGTAGTTTTTGCGGCAGTAAAAGTCGAGCAGACTGACAGCGGAGCCGATCTGACCCTGCTTCAGGGCCAGCAGGCTGGTGGGGGAGAGGGGGGTGCCAGGAAACAGGGGAAACACACACCTGTCCAGGTCCTCTGGTGATACAGAGAAACACACACTCGCAGGATTAGTATTAGCGCTCATTAGACATGTTGACTTCACGCCTGTGTGTTGGTCAGTTGAACAAGATACAACTGTGAGCTTAATCCATGACGAGAACAAACCGCAGGGCTGTAGCTCTAGTTCAGAACTTCCTTTCATATGATTCATGTTTTGCATCAAGGTTTTTGGTATTAAAAAAGGAATACGATAGTGATTTTCATTTCCATTGATGCTGAGGTGGAGGGTCCCTACAGTCCCTCAACTCGCCTCGACTCTACTGCAGACTACTGATTGTTCAAAGAGAATCGTCACTATTCACTACATGATCATTGCGCTCACTAGACGAAGTGTCCTGAACAAACCCGCCATTTTTATATATGTCATATTATGCTCATTTTCAGGTTCAAAATCCTATTTAGGGGTTGTACCTGAACAGGTTTACACACATTTTATAGGAGAGGTGTGTGCTGCAGTTCAGTGTTTTTCCACCGGTGTTTTTGAGGGCATGTCGGACTAGCTGCTTGGCGAGCGTTACGATGTGTGCTTTCTCGTGACATCACAAGAAAGCGGAAGAAAAGGCTGGACTACAAACAAGTTTTCAGGCAATTCAGAGCAGTGATTGCTGTGGGAGATGTAACTCCCTCTGGGTGGACTTTGGGCATTTTCACGGGAAAAAGCATAATATGGCCTTTTTAAATAGTTTAGCCAGAGATTGCAAGATACGATACTCTCTGTACTTTACTATTATTATTAGGGCTGTACATTACAGTTGGGCGATGTCTAAAAAATTTCCATCGGACTATGTCTACACTGAAACATCGGGATGGACGTTGCAAGTCGCGGACCAGGTAAAGCAGCAGTGAACACAAAGGGTGCAGATGTTGGTTTTGGTTGTTTCATAGGCTGCGTCATTAACAAGCCCACAAGCGGCTCACCTGCTGCCGTGAAAACGGATCACGGGTGGAAAAAACACGGAAAAGGCGAATTCTGCGTCTTTTAGGCGACTTTATAAAACACACTGCTGAAGGAGAAAGTGGAGTAGACGGGCAGGGCACGCCGGTCGGTGTGTTTACCTAAGGTGTAGGCCTCTTGAGTGTCTGAGTGTGGGGAGAAGAGAATTCCGAGGAAGGTATAAGCATATTTAAAATTTATAATAATAATGTTCCTGGTGATTAAAACCTGCTTTCAAAAAAGTGTTACAATCACGATGCCTGTTCAACCATTGACCAACTGTCAGCCATCGCCGACGGCATCGTCTTTCGGCCCAACCCTACAATGCATATTACTCGATTAACAAACCAATTTATCCAAAATAAATACCAAAAACATGTCTAATCAATATTTTATTCGATCATCCTGATGAAGCACATTAGAATAATGACAATAGCAAGAGTATGAATCAAATTTCCACGTCACTGATGTGTTGTGATAACAATAATAACAGACATTAATCAGGCTACTTTACTTAAAACTCATGCGTGGCCGTTACATAAACACAAAATATGAAACGGCCCAACGTTAGATGACACGGTGTAACGTTACGTTACCATGACAGCAGTGGGGCAGAAATTACTTTTAACATCAAGGCGATGAAGAGATACTTGTCCTCGTGCTTGTGTGGGGACAGAAAGTAAACAGGATTTGCGCGGTGCTGCTGTCAGTGCTCTGGGATACTTTTGCTTCTCGTGTTCGTGCTGCTTCACGTATTCGTGGACAGCAGTTGTGCTGCAGTGCAGCTGTTTCCAGTTCACAGAGCTCACGGAGCAGCACGTTGCTGAGTGTCTGTCTGAAATACTCCCAAACTTTAGACTGTAAAAAGCGAGCTCTTGTAGCTGGAGCTTGTCCGGGGGAATCCCTGTTAACACCGGATGTAGCGACGCTTCGACGCGTGTAATGAGAGTCAACGCATTTACGTAATTGAAAACAGAGGACAGGTCACCAAAAGCGAATTGCGTACAGTCAAGCTTGGTAAGCACCATAAGCCTCTGCTCAACTTGCATCTGATTGGCTGGTGAGGCTGCTTGTCCCGCCTAATGGCCTCTTAACAATCATGGCTGCTACATACCACTAGAGAGGTAAGTAACTTTTCTTCTACTAAATACTAAACTCTTCATCTCTTGTGACAAATCAATTTTACTGTAACTCATTAAAACTCTGTTATCAAATTCAAACTTCAGTTAGAAACGAGAGCTTGAGCAGCAGAACAGGAGCTGAGTCAGTCACATTTTCTATCCGCCTAACTTCATGTCTCCCTCTCAGTTCATCAGTCTCCACATCTCCATCCGGAAATACCTTCAATTGCGTTCCATCAGTCCAAGTCTCTTCTTCATTTACAATATTTCAACAAAATTAAACTGTGACATTAAGAGTTTCTCCAAAAAAGATCACAACCGTTTTAAATTCAAGTCGTTGAGAAAAAGAGGTTTAGCTGAATAAAAAACGGCAATAAATAACAATAACCTCTCAGAAATGCCGCACGGCCGTAATTCAGACATGAAATATCACCAGCATTAGCTGCTCTTAGCCTTTATGCTAATTATTTCATTCATTAAGACAAGGAGTACATTAATTAGCACATTCTTCTAAGTCATCTGAAAACACATAATATGCATTTTATCTTAAAGCTGCAGCAGCCTGGTTTTCATGATTAAATGTAAATGTGTGCTGCTCCACGTGAATTGATTTAATTTATGGAATTAACAGAATGAAAATGAATTAACTTTTGACAGTTTGCGCGGGAAACGCCTTTTTAGCACTTTTACCATCAGTACATCACTGTCAAACTAAGTTGTTATAATTACTGTGAATAAAAAGCTGAGATGACTGGTGGCCTCTACATCCCCCTGCAACAGAGCTGTTAATGATCCTCAGCACTGCACCACATTTCATTTAACTTATATTCTTTGTTGTATCTCCTCCACGTGTTTCTCCTCTCTCTTTATTTAATGAAGCTGGAGCCGTCCTCGCCACCAGAGGACCCAGTTTACTGAACCGTTAAACCAACACGTTCTCACTCTCAACTCGACACATATGGACGCAAGACCCGTCAGCATCAGTTTTTTACCCACTGGTGACGGTAAAGGTAGGTGTATGACATTTAACAGAAAAAAACAAGTAAGGAGAGGGTTGGGGCGGTTGAAGGGCCAGAACCGGACTTAATGCCAGGAGACAGTGACCATAACCACACAATGATCTTTTCCAAACCCTGAGCAAGTACTTTTGTTGCCTAAACCAAAACAAATTGCAATCACACCTCTTCCTTTCAGACTGCAGCTGAGTTTTTGTTTTCAAGCCCTGGTTTCTCGTTTATGTCTGTCGCTAATTTGCATCATACCTACACCTGAATTTATATATTTTCTATGTTCTATAAACAAATTAACAATTTCCACTTAATTTAACATCAACCTGAAAGCAAATGAAAACAGAAATAATTTTCACATTTTTTAATTGTAAATAAATTCAGGCATCAAGGGGTTAACAACGTGGCATTTAAAAATGGCGCCGTTTCACAAGGTTTACGATGTTGCATTTTTATTGTTGCTGACTGTTGCAAACTTTACCACGGAGCCTTAAATGTCCAAAAACGCCGCTAAAGGGGTCACCAGGAGTCGGGAGTGTCGGCAGTTTACTCAGGCGGCAACAAAACTCTGCTAGAAAAAAAATTCTATGTGGAGCTCCATGCAAACTTTTTACACTTTTTCTCCATGCAACGTTTGATCTCCTCCTGCGCTCTGTGATCGTGTTTCAATGCAGCCGAATTCACAATATAATTGTTCAAATTATTTTGTTACATCACAGAGTAGGAAATTCGATTGTGGCTCAGAAATACTGACCAGCAGTCATTAACAAGATGTACTGTTTTTTTTATCAACGGAGTCTGGTGGTTTTGACGAGAGCGATATAGCGACTGTTACTCTTTAAAAAAAGAGGTCTATCTCTGAAGGGACAGTTTCCATAATGTTGTCAGACACCTGTAATAACAAGCTGAGCCTGTCAGTAACAAAAAAACAAGCACTTTAGTGGACGTACTCTGACGGGACGCAATCGCTCGTTAGGAAATGCTGCTGACAACTGCAGCATGCTCGCTCAACATCAGTTCAGTTTTTAAAAAAGTAGTCACGTACACACACAAACACGGGAAATTAAGGTCCAGGTTTAAAGACTACATGTTACCCTTTAAATCTCCCCCTCCGTATATCCGTCTCTCCCTCTGAATCATCTCCATCTTCCCTCTAAACCTCCTTCTTTCGCATTTCCTTCATCCCTGTCAGTCTGTCTCTGCTCACAACATCTGTTTCTCTCTGCTTTAATCTCCCCGTCTTTCCTCCCTCTTCCATCCTGAACCGTCTCTGTCCATCTGAAGCTCTTTCTCAACCTTAAATGTGTCTCCTCTCTGCACTATGCATCTAACTCTCAAAGTGAATCTTTAATTCCTCTTCCCAGGAGTCTCTCTCTCTCATCCATCTCTCCTCAAATCTACCCATGTCCTCCTCCTCTCCCTCTCACTCTCCTGTAGTAGTACAAGTAGCGGCTTTCTGCTATGACATCTCTCCTCTCATAAATATTTCACAGTCCATTTGTAGGAGAGTTAACTCTAAAACTTTTCTCATTTTCAGAAATGTCTGCGGGCGTCACGAAACTTTGGAGTTTTGCTTCATCGCCAGATTATTATCACGGCTGTGTCAATTTACGAGCAATGACTTGATGAATGTGGTTTGTTACGGATAAGGCAAAGTCAAAACCTGCTCAAGCTCACAAGATAAAAGCTAAAAAATCCTCTCAGTGAATCAAAGTGAAGGGTTTTACAGGCTGGCCGAGACACAGAGAGCCAGCCTGCAGAGTTCAGAGTTTATGTACAAACACGTTCTTCACTGCTACCGGCAAGTCATATTGATTGTTTGGGTGGTCGGGCTCTAAAGATACTTTACTGTTAAAGTAATAAAAAAAAAAAGTGTTTGAGCAGTTTTGGGAAACTTTTCCAGAGGCAGACTAATGTCTTGGTTAAGAGAGAAACTCCACAGTACAAGTAAAATATAATTAAAAAATTAAATACAGTTCCCTGCTCATGAATCATCACCGCTTACAGCTGCATCTTAAACAAGATACTAAAACTTTTTAAACTCTTTTCGGTTATATTAATATGACATGAAATAAGTTTGTCGACTCAAAGTGTCCAATATTAAAAATAAACTTTAACAAAGCTAAATCTTGAAATAGCATAGCATTTTTCATCCTTTTTTATAATATAATATAATATTATAAGGAGTTTTTTATTTCAAAAAGTATTTTTCCAAAGTCTTTTATTATTTATATTTTTAGTATTTAAGTGTAATTTTTCTTTGGCTGTTGACCACTGTAACATGAAAAGTTTATGGTAATCTTGATACATAATAATTTCCTGATGTCTTTAATTTAAAGACGTCATATTATGCTCATTTTCAGGTTCATAATATTTTTAGGGGTGCAGCAGTACCCCTCTGAGCTTTCAGCTACAGAGTGAAGCATCTCACTTCTAGATGATCTTTGTTTGGAGTTGCACATGCGCAGTACATAGCACTAGCCAATCAGAAGCAGAGTAGGGCGGGTCCTGAAAAGGAAGGTAGTGTGATGAAGCTTGTTTCAGACAGAGGCTGAAATGAGGGACTGCACGACGGGGCCAGTAAAAGATAGAACATTTCTATAGAAATTAATTTTTTTGAACTTTAAATCATGCAAAGCTGCCGCAGTGGAGTGTGTAGGTCCCCTTTAACACACATTAAACCTCCTCCTCCTCACCTCCTGCTCCTGTGTAGAAGGGGCTCCCCAGGCGCGGTGGCAGGGTCACTGTTCTCAGTGGAGAGCATCCGTCCATATCTCCTCCCATCATGCCTCCGTCGCCCCCGTGCAGGACAAACATCTCGTTCCCTCCTCCTGATGCGTTGTTCCCCAGGTATCCCCTGCTGTTGTACCTCCTCCCGACTATACCCGCGTCTCTGATCCCGGCCGGCTTGGCCAGCGTCACCTCCACGCTGGCTCCATCGATCAGGGCTCCGTTCATGAGGCTCATCGCGGTGACGGCGTCGTCGCGGCAGCGGTAGTGAATGAAGGCATAGTCGGTGAGCTTCTTGACTCGCTCCACAGAGCCCGGTTTGAAGCAGGAGAACTCCTGATGGAGAGTTTCTTCAGTGGTGCTCGGCATCAGGTTACGCACCTGAAAAAAAAGATTCTGTCACAAACAACATAATGTAGCGCACAACGTCAGCCTTCACCTTCAGAAAGTCTTCTAGTGAGTCCAAATCCAAATGGCTTTCTGCTTGGTTTTCACTTCCTGCATTCACAGCTGGCATGTCAGTGGCACTGTACACGTTTTAAGCCTAAAGGCCTTTTCACACGGGAAGCGATTTACGCGCCTCGTAATTAATTTTCAATGAGGGGTGAGTGTGTAGGAAGGGAGGCGTGGGTTGTTTCGACAGGCACAGCGACAAGCGGGCGTGTTCCCGTGAAACTGTCGCGGTCGTGCTCATCTCACGCACATGCTCAGCTAACGTTACTTAGCCTATAGTTTCACTTTAAGCTAGGCAATGAAGGACTACAGTAGCGCAAAGAAGCCGCTGCAGTGGTTACTATCTATTGAGCGCCTTCCGTTTACTCGCGGAGCGCTTGTCTCGGTGTCTGTTCACATGAGAAGCGCAGAGCGACCCCGCGGGGCCATGCAACTATGCGGGCGGAGTGTCGCTTCCCGTGTGAAAAGGCCTTTAATAGTTTTAAAGTACAGCTAGCAGCTAGCAGCTAGCAGCATGGCTCTTATATGTAACGACCGGATGGATCGTCATGGTATTTGGTTCAGATATTCGTGTTCCCTTCAGGATGAACTGTAAAAATGAGTTTGGTGATCCTCTGACCACACAGGGTGCATGACGATGATGATTTCCCCTCATCTGACTGTTTGAGTCATTTTTAGAGGCCTGAAGAGGAAAAACTCCACTTTTCTCGTTCGCTGACTAGTGACTAGACCGATTAATTGTCCGAAACCTGCACTCACGAGGCCGATAAATCATCCTAATTGACAGCAGAGCATATATCTAACACCAGTACTGGCTAGTGTCAAATGTATATTGGATGACGTCACTTCTGACAAATAGGACTGATTCTTTTAAGTATCGACTAATCCGCCGAACATCTTCACGACTAATCGACTAATCTAGTGGAATACCACACTAAACAATTAGTCTGAAACTGTTTTCCAACTGAGGAATATTTCCAAATTAAGAACACTGCATGATGATTATGAACAAAGTGTGAGTTGGAGATGACCATTCATGCTTTTATTTCCTCTTGTTCAGTTTACTGTAACGGTCTTTTTACTTGTTTGAACAAGAACCGTTCAGAACTCTGCTGCAATGCTTTAAACTCACATTAGCAAAAGAGCGCACATCGCATCCGGTGTTTAAACAGCTTCATACTCCGTCCCGTAGTCTGAGGTCATCAGGTCAGAGGTTGTTAGTGGCTCCCCACACTCATTTTAAAACCAGGGGGGATCGATCATTTCAAGCAGTGGCACCGAGGCTGTGGAAAGCATTGCCTCCCTTTCTATGCTGAATTCTGCATGCCTGCCGAGAACTGCATGACAATGCATTAAAGTTCTGCTTTTAAACGCTATACTATTCTTTGTGGGGTTCATCAATAGTGATAAATGATCAGTATACATTTTATGACTGTTAATATATTATTACACTTAGTAAAAGTACCATTTCTTGAGATTCAGCAAAAACATGTTGCGTTAACCGCGTTCAAACAATGTGAACAGCAAACCTTAATAAATGGATGCATAATTCAGCAAAACGGAGGTGTATACAATTCACGGCAGAATTTGGCACAATACCTGCGCTGCAAAACGTCACTAGACCTCGTGGGAGCGAGGCCTGATCATTGTTCTAAGCTCACGCAGTCTAACGGAGGCAGATTGTGTCTGACTTGACGGCACTGTTTTTATTCCTCTATCAAGTCGGCGAAAGTCAGCCAGTTATCTGGAACGCACCTGTTGACTACCAGTTATACAGCGTGCTAACTTCGACAGCTGGTTTCCAAAGCTCTCCTTATTAGCTAGGCTCCTTACATGCTTGCTAATAACCGTTTTGAAGATGGTCCCCCGACACTGACAGCATTGTGTTGGACAGATTTGTGCAGCGGTGATTATGATTCCAACCATTCAATTCACAGACGGGTCTGTTGTCTGTGTTTGCGCGAGAGAGCGAGAGCGACTGATTGAGAGGATGTGCGGAGCGAATATGTGATGCGCAGCGTTGCAATCAAAAATGGGTCGCCAAATTTACTTGGGTGGCTGTTAATCTAGCTGGACTGTCCGCCCAAGTTAAGCCTATGTGTGGGAAACACTGGGCATGATACATCGGCCATTGAATGACACTTATCAGTTGAACATTAGTCCTGCCATTCTGAGATAACCTGGCAAAAATGCTGGTTTGTCTCCAACTATGTGATCATGTGACTGCTCATCCTATTAAAGTCACATGGTCCCACGTGTCAGCAACCACATTCTGATAGGTAGATGATATTTTTAGTGGCGCGAGTGACAGACAACGTTGATGGACACAAGCTGTAATTACCTGTAATTATCCTGTGGGATGACTTACGGGATAATTACAGCCCGATCATCACCAGCAGTCTTGACTGGCAGTGAATGGGCTCATAGATGAGAAATGTCCTTTAACCCAGAGAGAGTTGTGGTTCTTCAGTTAGCAGCGTCAGACACGCACACCACCGAGGGCTTGACTTCCCTCTGGCCCTCCCCTGCTAAAAATACTCTCCCCCTCACGCCACTACAAGCTTTTGGGTTTGAGTCTGTGGCCCTTAGATCACATCTCAGTCTTTCAGTGTAAAAGCCTCCACAGTAATTGATCCCCTGGAGGGAGAGCAGCTCCTGCGAGCCTCCTCCCTGCTGCTCCGTTCTCTAACACCTTTGATCTGAACAAGCCTGCTGAGTGTTTCCTAAAACACTGACCTTTAGCTGCGGATCGGCACAGGAGAGCAGCGCAGAAGCTGAGCGTTGCATTTTAAAAAGACGTCTACACTGTGGGCTGAAGTGGGGGTTGTTTTTGGATAGAAAGCACACAACTTTGACGCTGTGACTGTGTTTATAAATAAACTCTCTCAGCCATATAATCCTTCTCTGACTCGTCTCGTTATCTGCATTCCCTTCATCCTGATCGAGGGAGGTTTAATAGGAACAAGCACAAATCTAAACCACACTCTCACACGCACACACACACACACGTGTACTCACATAAAGGACTCTGACACGCTGCATGACCTCCTCGTCCACGTCTTTCTCAGGCTCGGCCCAGTCCACCTGGATGGAGTGACCCCACAGCTGGAAGGTTCCTGTTGGTGAGCCGCAACAGTTACACACTGACCAACGTGTCAACACACAACTGTGATTTCAGACACAACTGGATCACAGTTTGTACTGTAGGCCGGATGTTACAGAAAATTCAGTCAGAAACTGTACAGGTTCTCCTGCAGCGTCTTATGGAGGCAGGACACCTCACCTGAAATAATGAATACCCGAATGAAATAAAATATTAAAATTCTGGGGAAAAAAGAGCAGAGTCAGCACCCTGTTGGTTTTGTTAGTTTTTCCTAATAAGTTCAGTTATTTGATGCCTTAAAAAGAGGGTTTCAGGTGTCATTTTAACAAGCGAACCCACAGTTTGCCCCGACACAAAGCAAACACACACTGTGGTCAGTTTAATCGGACAGATCCTGATACATCTTATCGGTTTCATTTCTACATGCTGGTCTGAACTGTCGGCGCAGTCCAAAGTAAAGTTTCACAGTTTTTCTAATCAGTCTTAAAACAGCAGTCAGGTGCACGTATGGATGTGAAACAGGTTCGGTGTCTGTAATCACTCGTCCTGTTCATCCTTGTGTGTGTGTGTGTGTGTGTGTGTGAGTGAGACGCCTCACTCTACGACAATCTGCATGTGACTGCTACAAGACACTAATAAATCGTTTATTAATTAGTCAAAGTGGTGAAGGCTGCCATCCAGCTGCAGCAGCGGACACGGGTGTTTGACTTGATCAAAGTTACAGTTTGATCTTTTAAGGCATGAATCTCCCTTTCAGACTGATCGAGCGTTGAGTGTTTCTGTATGCTGGAAAAGTCTACATCTATTCATCCACTCAGCTTATTAGGTACAGCTAACTAAAACTAACGTAGTCTAAACAACAGTCCTGCAATAAATCCTCCTTCACGAAGGTTGTAAACTTCAGTTTGTGTTGATTCAAACGTACGATCACTGTGGAGAACATAGACTGAACCACACTGCACTTATTATTTTGTCTAGGGCTGCAGCTATCAAGTTCCAATTTTTCAATTCAATCTGGCCTACTATTTTCCTGATTAATCAATCAATCGATCTATAAAATGTGACAAAACAAGTGTGAAATGCCTGTAGAACTTCTTAAATCCAGTGTTACAGCTCAGTAGCACCACAAACTCCGTCCTCCACACTGATCAACACAAACTGAACTTTTCAACCTTGATGAAGGAGGATTTGTTGTATTAGACTGCGTTAGTTTCAGCCAGGTGTACCTAATAAACTGGACACTTGAGAGTCTGTGAAGCCACACAGTAAAGTTCCCCTTCAGACGCTTTGCTGCAGTGCTCTGTCCTCTACTTCCCCCTGCTGGACAAGGACAGGAACTGATCCAGAGTCAGTTCAGCACGTAGAAGAAGAGCAGCAGAGAGTCGAGGAAGATAAGACGGATGTAATGAAAAATGTCATGAAGGCGACATCAAAAAGAGCGAGGGGACGGACGCAGAGTGCAGTGTGTACCAGGTATCAGCCTCCTCCGGGCCATGGCCGCCGCTTTGTGGGATTCATACTCCACGAAGGCAAAACCTCGGTTCCTGCTCTTATCTGTGGAGCTGGGGTACACGATCACCTCCACCACCCCCTCCGTCACCTGGGAGACACACGAGGAGGAGAGGACCATGTAATTAGAGGGAAACATGTAGAAACTGTGTGTGGAGGTCGATGAAGAGCGCAGCCAGTAAACAGTAACATCTGCTGCTTCCTGTCCTGTGACCTGACACGCCACCTGATGTTGATGAGGGGAAATACCTGCTGCTGGACAGAAGTATTTAGACACTCGATCTCTTTGTCTTACTTTAAATGCTCTTCAGTAAACATCACCAAGCTGCTGATAAAACCAATATTGTATGGACAACCAAAATAAACAAACATCCAGGCTGATGATGAAAGCAGCTCTGTGCGTTGAGCGACGAAAAAAGGTTATCGTGTTTAGGTTTGTCACCACTTTATGAATGAGCTCCAAAATGTTTAAATGTAATAGGGTTGCTGAGCTACAATAAGCTAAAGGTTACAGGGACGCTCCACATCTCTGTGTCAGACTCACTCTGTCTCTGCTCCGCTGCCTGTCGGCTGACTGACTCAGCTGAGTTGATGATGATACACTGTTCGGGTTGAGATTATGTTTGTTTTGCTTCATTACAGACTGACTGTCTGTCTGTGTGTAGAAAGTGTTGCATGAGGGTTTAGTGCAGTGTTTCCCATTAGTTTGCGAGACCATGGCGGCCCGCCATAGTGTCAAAATGAACCAAAAATATGTTGTATGTTATGTAACACATTGTGGGAGCTGCCTTGCGCTGCTGAAGCTCGCACGCTCACACGTTTTGGCTTCTGACTCAAGACAACCACTTTTCTTTTGAGGTAACTATGGTTACATTCACGGTCTGTTTCGGTCACTCGTTTGTGAGAAGCACGATTAAGCTAGCCACACCTAAATTTGGAGTCCACACGCATTCAAGCCTTTATGGTAAATCCACTGAAACGGACCAGAGCGAGCTGACAGGCAGGTTAGTGACTTTATCCTGTCAGTTTCTCTCTTTACAAAGACAAGTGTTGCAGTATGAGAGTCCTTCCTGAAGAGAGGCTGTGAAGTCTTCATGTTACGCCATACGAGAACCACATACAACATTATTTATCAAACTGGGTCAGACTTTATCATTTTTAGCGCAAGGAAACACATGTGACAAGGTCCATTGTTATGACCTGGCTCAGAAGGCCACAACAAAAGGGAGACACACCGCGGTAAACGTTTAACAAAATATATTTCTTTAACTCAAAATAAGCCTAATTAAGACTTGTCACGAAGTAAAGATGATGAAGTATGGGTAGGGCTGGATGATATGAGTGAAACTTGAAGAAATCTGATGGTTAATTGTGGTTTAAACTCGTCTTTATGGTCAACACTTGGTGCCAAACAGTGGATCACTTCACAAATCCGAGGCAGAACATTCAAAACAATTGACAAAATCTTTGTTAACAAATACGCAGTAAAATTAAGTAGAAGGTTTTTCAGTCCTTTTTCTCAACAAAATAAACATCATAATTTTATATTTATCTGTATTTTAGTCTTTTCAGTGTTTTCATGCTTTTATCTTGTATTGTTTTTGTATTATTGTCTTTTGGTATTATTGTCTTTACACTTGTTAAAGCACTTTGTAACTTGTTTTTGAAAAGTGATCTACAAATAAGATTATTATTATTATTATTATCTTAATAAAAAAAATAAGTTCTAATTTCTGTATGATTCAAGTGAATAAAATCAAACATTTATTGAATATTTACTGAACATTTCTTATTATATTATTGTTATTGTTTTACTGTGCAACATTAGGTATGGGGTATGAACATCAGTGGTTTAAGTCATGTCAGGGTAGGATGACGGATTCTTGGAAAATGTGTTTAAGGGTGTTGTAATGTGCAAGAAACAATAACTACAACTAAAACAATATGTCCAGAAACCAAGGCAAAGGTGGAACCTGTGGAGCGAAACAGATGGTAGTAAGTTAGCAGGGAGGTCTGTGACCTCAGCCCAGCAGCATCATCCCTAAGAATGAGATTAAGATGTTACAAATACTCTACAGGTATTCGCTCAGGTGCTCAGAGTTACTGCAATCAGTCTCAGCTCTTCACCTGCAAGGGACAGAGATTGGACACGCCCACATACGACCCCACAGGGCGTCACAACGTACAGTGTGGAAATAAGATTAATTGGATTATATTCACAGAAAGTATAAAACATATTACATTAAAAGTATTATTACTTATTCTATTTTATATTCTTTGATTTAGGGTTGTTGGAAAAACATTAAATAAATTTGGTGACTTTTGTTGCCGTTTCATCACCATTTATATACAATGGGTTTATGATCAAATAGTTACTAATACTGGAGAACAACATTGTTTACAAAAGTGCAAAGTTCTTCATAGATGGCCTTTTAATTTTGCACCAAATTAATGCATTTAACAGAACCAGTGAACAGTAACCTTATCTGGACACCAAATGAATCTCTGCAGGTCTAGGAAAGATAAATATCCCCACACTGGAACTAACCTTCAGATATGGTGTTGGCATTGTGTTCACACGTTGGCCGAGTCTCAATGAACTTGAGTCTTCATCAGTCTCCAATGCTTCTTCATCACACCTGAACCTGGCTCACAGTATTTACATCACAGCATCCAGCGGCCACTGAAGCTGCGAAGATGCAGCCGGCTGCTGTGTGTGTTCACCGTAACGCCAGGTTCCACATGTGTCCACATACTTTTGGCCAGTAACAGTATCCATCGGTCCACATCATGTAGTTTTGACAAGTGCTATACCAATACAAAATGTTCAAAGTGTTTTAGCCTAAGTTTTGTTTTCAGGTTTTATTTTAGGTTCATTTAAACAACGTCACTGAACTTTTTCCAAAAGTTAATTGAATCTGATGCAGTCCGATTTAAAAACTTATTTATTTCTTCAAGATTGTCACGCCTGCGGGACCTCTTAATGTGGTATCTTGGGGACGCACAAAGTCCCATTGCTTTCCTCTCCTGTGTTCCTGCTGTTAGAACTTTTTTATACCTGGTTGACCCGTCAGTCATGTTTATGAAAAAGACGCTTGTTATGATGTGAGTGTCGGGGGGGGGCGTACCTTCTTCATCTCCTCCATGATCTCCTCCTTCTCTTGTCTTTGGGGATGGAGCCGATGAAGAGGCGGCAGTTGTCCAGACTCACACACACTCCGATGAACTTCCCCAGACGGATCTCGTAGTTGTCCAGCATCTGGATGGCTCTCTGAGCCGCTTCTCTGGACAACAATAAAATCAGCCGTTCGTTAATAATCACAAGGATAATTCACTGCAGCTCCTTCTGACAGCTGACTCATGTTGTTTAAACTGCTGATTACTGAAGTGTGTTTTGGTTAAAAAGATCCCCTGATGAGGTTTTACAGGTGAGTTTGAAGTAAATTGATTTCTAATGTTATTCTGAATAAATAATAAACTGTATTGACATGATGTTGGCGGGGCCTCAGGCTCCAGCACAAGAAGCTGACAGAACGTCTGCAGATAAGTTTGATTATTTGAGCTCATAAAATATTGTTACTGTGTAAAAACATTAAACTGTTTATGAAATGCACTCTGGGAGTCACCTGTTGGTGTACATGACGAAGGCGTAGCCGCGGTTCTCTCCGCTGAACTCCATCATCAGCCTGAACTCGTAGATCCTGCCGGCTCTCTCGAACAGGGGACCAGCTCGTCCTCGTACATGTCTCTGGGAATCTTCCCCACAAACACCTCGCAGCCCCGTGGCGGGGGCGGGCCCTCCCAGCCTGCAGCGCCCAAACACATGGTCAAGAGAGTCGGAGCTTTTACTGCAGCTGATCCCAGGCCAGTTAAAGGACAAGTACCAAAGTACATTTGCTACAAACTGACATACAGAACTAACGGTTGGTAATGTAACACAGGGACATTTATCACGAGTCAGGCCACATGACTCTTACTTACCTAAACTAGTCGCGTTAACCGATACCGAGGTCAGTCTAAGTATCTCAGCGAGTTCTGTTTGTGTGACAAAGACCAATAAAACAGCTTGAATAAACGGCCAGTTTGAATAAAAGCTGTCATTGCCCGTCAGCTTTTGGATCCTTTGAGGAGAAATGTTTCTGAAACGTGAAACAGAGGGGGTTCTTGTTTGTTTCTGGCCTCGTCATGAATGAACATGTTTTAGTGAGGATGTCAGTCAGGTCTCAGATCTTCTTGTAACAGATCGGTCAGATCACGGCGGCTTTATGGAATCAGGGATCATTTAGGTTATTCATCCCTCCCACGCAGCTGGATTTCCAAGCAGGCGACTTTAATCAGACATTCCTTGACGTGAAAAAGTTTGAGAACCACTGTTGTAGATTGCTTACAGCTCTGATGTTAAAGCTGAAGCAATGGACTGACTAATCCATCACCAGGAAAAAGTTTCAGCAACATGTGTGATATAGTCTGTGGGGGGTTTGTGGTGGGAAGTGTGTCTCCCGGTGTGTGAGGTGCGCAGTCACAGAAACGTTTAGTCAGTTAGAGCTGCAACGATTACTTAACTGATTAGTCGGCTGACAGAAAAAAAATCACACTATTTTTTATTTTAGCACAATTATTTAAGCAAATATGTCAAACATTCCCCAGTTTGAGCTTCTCACATTTTAGGGTTTGATGCTGTTTCTTGTCAAACATGATAGTGAACTAAACATGTTTGGATGCTGGACAGTTTGGTTGGACAAATCAAGACATCTGAAGACATCCCCTTGGACTTCACTATTTAAAATATATTTTATGGCCAAATGACTAATCAAGAAAATGATAGGCAGATTATTCGATAATGAAAATTATGTGCAGCCCAACAAAACAAAATGTACACTTGAATATATCAGGAGGTAAACATCTTCACACTGTTTGGTGACTGTTTTAGTTTCTGTAACTTTGACCGGACTGAATCGTGACCCTTGGAAACATGTGTCTTGCGAAGATATTTAGTTACTGTTGGCCATTTATACAGTGAGTTTACCAGCTGTTTATGAAGCTTTTCTACCAGCGAGCTTGTATAGAGACGTAACTTATATCCGTCTTTTATGTGAAGCCCATCGAGCAGCGTTCCTGTTGGGGTTTCCGGTCTTTGGTCCCCGTTCAGCAGTTTATTTCCTGTAATGGTAGAGAGTTGTTTGTCCCACTTGTGAGGTTTAGGTTAGTTCTAGAAAGTGTAGCCTAATTTTGATGTCTTTTTGTGCTTAAGGATTTTCTTTTCATGCCACACACACTAATATATGACTAAAAGTGCTTGCGCATCTGTATCTACATTTTACGTCACAATAAAATGCTCAAAAGACGTCCTGGCCCTCCGTGTCCTCACTAGACATCTCATATTGCTGATTAAATCTCCAAACCACCAGGAGCTCCTCTACATCTGCATCTAGACCATAGAGGATGGTTCTTCATAAGAGACCCTGACTGAGCGTAAACAGGACATTACAAACGGACAAACAAACATTTAAATGTATATTTCTTCAGGTTCTTGATGTCACACACACACCTGGCGGGGGTCCACCGTACTTCCTCTGTCCGTTCTCCTGCACCATGTTGTATCCCGTCTTCTCCATCAGATCGAGAAGGGCCATCTCTTTGGCGCAGGACGCTTTGAACTCGTCCTCGCCCACCAGCGGGCTGATTTTCCCAGAGTCTCCATCCATGTCTGCGTCTGACTTTCTGTCCCCGTCTGCCCAACAGACACTACAGTCAGCTGTCTGCTTCAACATTCAGGTCATATGAGGGAAGACACCAGAGTGCTGCTCCGAACTACAGCTGAGGTGGGAAATGTATCAGGAATCAAGCTAAACACAAGAGACTGGGATCATTTTTTTTATCTTTTTGACGCTGCGTTTCGACACGACGAATTACTGATACTCATCAGGTGTAAAACAAACACAAGTTACTTTAACTGAACTAATTCAATATCCTGATCAACAAAATATTAATCAGAATATTAAAATAAACATTTTGATGACTTACCAAGAATATCCAGCTTGTACAAGTTTTACTATATTACTATTTTATAGGCTAAAAGGAATAACGGACAGATCAATCAATATTACAAAGAACTAAAGAACGGCACAAGTTGCTATAAGTGATTCTGGTTAAACTTTAAATTGTCTTTCTTTTTTGAATTGTCGTTTAAGTGGGACGTCATCAATTAATTTTCAAGAGTAACTCTATCGCAGACAAGAGGCTGAAAACACAGCAGAGTTTGGCTAGAGCTGCAACTATTATCTCTATTGATCGTTTAGTTGTCAACTGTTAAATTATTGTTAAATTTCAAGGATTAAAAAAGGTTAAATTCTCTGATTCCAGCTTCTTAAATGTGATTATTTTCTGGTTTCTTTGCTCCCCTCTGACAGTAAACTGAAACGATTTGGGGTTGTGAACAATAGAGAAACAAGATCGACATGTTTTAACATTTTATGGACCAAACAACCAACCGATTAATCAGTGATTTATCACTGCAGCAAGCCAACAAAACCTAAGTTCAACCAAAATTAAGTTCAGTATAATGTGCAAACCTGCTTTAACGTCACATTTCAGTTTTATATATTATTTATAAGCAGCAGGGCAGATTAATATACCCGGCACACATCACTCAGAGCTGCAGATGAATAACTATTGAATGAGTTTAAATCCAAAAGTTTCCTGAAGAACTGATAATCTGAAATGTGTTGTGTTCACTAAAATGTTCACACGTTATTTAGTCGATGCTAAAAGTGCAAAGGGAGACATCCATTGTAAACACATGAATCCAAACACTTGCATTAATAAGATTTCAGAAATTGGAAATGAAGATACATTAAACTAAAAAACACCCAACACCACTGTGTGTTGCTGACGGCTGTAGGTTAACTTTGATTTAGGATAAATGAAGACCTTCTGCATTATATGTCACACGATTACTATCACTGCAAGACCAAACCTGCCACAGTTAAATTTACTATAACCTGAAACCCTGCTTTGACATCACATTTCAGTTTAATTTATTAATATTAAGGCTTACTTTACCCAACACAGTCTCAGATCCACAGACAAACTATCATATGATTTAACGTTAAATCCACGTGCAATATATAAATCCCACATTGACACTCACTACTAATTTTATTTTTACTTGTGAAAAGCTTCCCAAAGAACATAATCTGAAAAGATAATGTTGTTAAAGCTAGCTAACGTCAGCTGGCTAACCTTAGCCTAATATAGATTTCTCTCTCTTTTTCTATGGATTTGGCCAACACTAACGGTGCAAAAGGACACATCCATTATCAAAACATAAATCCTGACGCTTGATCTACTTTAATAAGATTGTCAGAAATGACCAATAAGATAGTTTAACTAAAGTTACTCTTCAATGTGCTGTTTGGCTAACTTCATCTGTTACGTCCTGTGGACCGCTCAGAACCGTGAGAAAGCCCCGAGTCCCGACCAATAAGCAAGTATAAACATTATTTTAAAGTAATTAGCTTGCTAACCAATATGTGTAAACTGTATGAATTATGCCAAGTCGTAAACAACAGCATGAAGAAGCTAAAAGCTAGCTCAGCAGCCTTTATGCTAGCGGCTCTGTAACGTAACGGTAACTTTGGTTTCCCACGCAAAACTTCTTCCAACCGTTTTTAACTGAGCTACCCAAGAATAAACTCCTACCGGCTCCGACTGTCGACATTCCTCCTCACAGTGAAACGTTTTTCTTCCTAGAGGAGTTAAAACCTCAACCACTAACAGTAGATGTCAGGAACAGTAGATGTCAGGAACAGTAGATGTGTAACGTTAACGTGCTTCTACTATTAAAGTAACTTACCTGGAGCGTCTACTCAAATCAACTGGCCGATATTATGATTGACATGAAGGTCAGGCCCTCTGAGCCAATCAGCACGTTCATCTGGGGCACGGTGGGCGGGACAACATGTAGATACGTTCTTATTAAAAATGTATTAATTTATAAAATTATAATAAATGAAAGTGAATAAAATACATTAAAAAATTAAATTAAAGTTGATTTTTTAAAATTAGATTTCTACTGAATGCCAAAAGCTGCAGCACCAGCCTTCAATTTACTGTGTTTGTGTACTTGTATGTGTGCATAAAATGATTTAATCCACAGGCAATATGTTTGCTTTTATTTCTTCAATGAAGGCAAAAAATAAAAAAATAAAAAACAGTGAAAGAAATTTTCATTAGGGCAAATGTTTTCCCAGAGATTAAAAATGCATCAAGCATTTGTCATGGAAATGCACATGGGAAATTGTGTTCCTAATTTTAGTTCCCATGACACAATTTATAAATAAAATTTTGTTTATATAACCCAATATTACAAATGATAAGGACCTTTACAATGTGACCAGCATACAACACCCTCTATCTACCTACATAGTTTAATTTTGATTTAGGTTTTTAGTCACTTAAACACAGTTGCAATAAATTGACCATACAGTTGTGAAAGTGTTTAACACTAATTCACTATAATAAGAACATTAATTGTAATTGGCCTTCCTGACAATTCCTCAGTATTTTTTTTTTTTGCAGTATATAAATGGAAGTTGTTATAGTTTTGTAAGTGTTAAGTCCACACAGCAGTATAGAATAAAAACTGAGTTATGATTCAAGATGTATAAGCTAGTTAATATGTGCATGTTTCTTTTTGATGATTAAAAGTGCTTTACAAATAATTTTAAATATCACATATAACAATAGTTGCGCAGGATACTCCATTAACCAGAAAATACAACAAACTCAGGATTATCAACCAAAAATATTATATTTATTAGACTCAAGTCATCATTTTACATTTTTATCATTCTCGTGTGTACTTGACATTTCCAGATGCATCCCGAGTTTTATTCACTCTCCTGGTGTCATACAGTATGTTATCTACACTCACCGCCCACTTTATTAGGTACACATGTTCAATCGCTCGTTAACACAGATAGCTAATCAGCCAATCACATGGCAACAACTCAATGCATTTAGGCAGGTAGACGTGGTCAAGACAACTTGCTGAAGTTCAAACCGAGCATCAGAATGGGGAAGAAAGTGGATTTAAGTGACTTTGAATGTGGCACTGTCGTTGGTGCCAGACGGGCTGGTCTGAGTATTTCAGAAACTGCTGATCTGCTGGGATTTTAGCCCACAGCCATCTCTAGAGTTTACAGAGAATGGCCAGAAAAAGAGAAAACATCCAGTGACTCAAATAACCACTTGTTAAAACCAAGGTGCGCAGGATACCATCTCAAAACGCACAACACGTCAAACCGTGACGCAGATGGTCTATGCTGCTCCTGTCAGCTATGAACAGGAAAATGAGGCTATAATTCACACAGGCTCACCAAAACTGATGAGTTGCCTGGTGCTACATTCAGATGGTCACAATTTGGCCTAAACACATGAAAGCATGGATCCATCCTGCCTTTTATCAACGGTTCAGGCTGATGGTGGTGGTGTAATGGTGTTGGGGATATTTTCTTGGCACACTTTGGGCGCCTTAGTACCAATTGAGCATTGTTTAAACGCAACATCCCACAGTGTACCATCTTCTGATGGCTACTTCCAGCAGGATAAAGCACCATGTCACAAAGCTCAAATCATCTCAAACTGGTTTCTTGAACATGACAATGAGGTGACTGAACTCCAGTGGCCTCTGCAGTCACCAGACCTCAATCCAACAGAGCACCTTTGGGATGTGCAGGAACGGGAGATTCTCATCATGGATGTGCAGCCGACAAATCTGCAGCAACTGCGTGATGCTATCATGTTAATATGGACCAAAGTCTCTGAGAAATGTTTCCAACACCTTGTTGAAAGTATGTCACAAAGATTTAAGGCAGTTCTGAAGGTAAAAGGGGATCCAACCCGGCACTAGTGGCCAGTGAGTGTGTGTGTGTGTGTGTGTGTGTGTGTGTGTGTTTGTGTTTTACGAGGCCATCCAGATGAGGAAGGGCAGCTGGACGGCCAGCAGAACGGAGCAGGTGGTCACAGCTCCCAGGTAGAGGAGCAGGCACGCCGCCAGCACCGCCGACACCTTGGCAACACGCCGACTCAGCAACAGCTTCCTCACCGTCTTACAGAACTGATGAAGAGGAGGAGAAGAAGAAGAAGAAGAAGAGAGGGGGAGTGAGAAAAAAAAGTCAGGGGTTGCTGACACGAGAAAAAGAATTTGAAAAAGGTCGTCAAAATAGCGACCAATTAGATTTCTGTCAATCAACTAATAGTTTCAGCTGCTCTTGTAGAAACTGTTAGTTTGGTAACATCATATATATTTTGAAAGTAACTGAAGCTGTCAAATAAATGTGGTGAAGTAAAAAGTACAATATTTCCCTCTGAGGTGGAGTAGAAGTACATTCTTCTGCTGACATTTTATTTGAGAATTACAGAGCATTTGGACTTTTATTTATTGATAGTGTGTTGTGTTCAGTCTATATCTATACATTAGACATTTGGACACCTGTGTGTTTGTGTGTTTAACTGTAATACATGCATGACAACACTTTTCTGCAAACTGATTTCTCCTACACACAGACAAAGTGTTTTCATTAATCAGTGTGAAGCGGCTTTGTGTGCTTGTTCAAAGATGGTTGGTGCAAAAACTCTATTTAGTATAAAGAGTTTTGCAAGAGATGTATGGTGTTTTTGTTTATATGGTTTTGTGTGCAGAGTTTTGCAAAAGCAGCCCATAGATTCAAAAAATGTGCCTAAGCCATCAGAAAGAACTGTAACTCCATTACAGAGTTTACAGTTAAAAGCATAGAACCACTAGATGGAGTCAGTACACTGTCTTGCTGTAACGTTCAGAGTGAGCTTCAGTTCCTACATCAGTATTATCAGTAATCAACTTGAATTTTCTCTCAGGGATCAATAAAGGATCAGCTACACTGTTAATATCTTATTCTGCTGCTATCTGAACGACTCATGACTTCAATCACTGTAAATCTTCTGTTACTCTTGGAGAATCATTTATGAGATGCCTATTTCCTCTGCACTTATCAGTGGATTCTGTGTGTTCAACGTGTGTTGACGCTGCCTAAAATAGTGGTAAATAGTGTCGCTGTGCTGTTATACGATGCAAGCAGCAGTATAAAGATGGTCTGAAAGAAATTTCCCAACTCACACACCTAGAGACGCTCAGTGGTGGGAAGTAAGTACGCACAGAAACAACAGAGCGTTCATTGAGGTGACTGTTGCTGCAACAGGGAGGCTTAACCCGGTTACAATGGAGGCAGGTCTGATCTGGGATCAGCATTAATCTGCAGCAGCTACAGTACTACTGTGTATCTACAGTATATCACTCTGTGTATACATTATATTACTCTGAGTATATACATTATATTATTCTGTGTATATACAGTGTATTACTCTGTGTATATACATTTTATTACTCTGTGTATCTAGAGTATATCACTCTGTGTATACATTGTATTACTCTGTCTATATACATTATATCACTCTGTGTATATACAGTATATTACTCTGTGTATATACATTATATTACTCAGTGTATATACATTTTATTACTCTGTGTATCTAGAGTATATCACTCTGTGTATATACATTATATCACTCTGTGTATATACATTATAGTACTCTGTGTATATACATTATAGTATTCTGTGCATATTACTCTGTGTATATACAGTGTTTTACTCTGTGTATATACAGAATATTACTCTGTGTATATACATTATATTACTCTGTGTATATACATTATAGTACTCTGTGCATATTACTCTGTGTATATACAGTGTATTACTCTGTGTATATACAGTGTATTACTCTGTGTATATACAGAATATTACTCTGTGTATATACATTATATTACTCTGTGTATATACAGAATATTACTCTGTGTATATACATTATATTACTCTGTGTATATACAGTGTATTACTCTGTGTATATACATTATATTACTCTGTGTATATACATTATAGTACTCTGTGTATATACATTATAGTACTCTGTGCATATTACTCTGTGTATATACAGTGTATTACTCTGTGTATATACAGAATATTACTCTGTGTATATACATTATATTACTCTGTGTATATACAGAATATTACTCTGTGTATATACATTATATTACTCTGTGTATATACAGTGTATTACTCTGTGTATATACAGTGTTTTACTCTGTGTATATACAGAATATTACTCTGTGTATATACAGAATATTACTCTGTGTATATACATTATATTACTCGGTGTATATACAGAATATTACTCTGTGTATATACATTATATTACTCTGTGTATATACAGTGTATTACTCTGTGTATATACAGTGTTTTACTCTGTGTATATACATTATATTACTCTGTGTATATACAGAATATTACTCTGTGTATATACAGAATATTACTCTGTGTATATACATTATATTACTCCGTGTATATACATTATATTACTCTGTGTATATACATTATAGTACTCTGTGCATATTACTCTGTGTATATACAGTGTATTACTCTGTGTATATACAGAATATTACTCTGTGTATATACATTATATTACTCTGTGTATATACAGAATATTACTCTGTGTATATACATTATATTACTCTGTGTATATACATTATAGTACTCTGTGTATATACATTATAGTACTCTGTGCATATTACTCTGTGTATATACAGTGTATTACTCTGTGTATATACAGAATATTACTCTGTGTATATACATTATATTACTCTGTGTATACAGAATATTACTCTGTGTATATACATTATATTACTCTGTGTATATACAGTGTATTACTCTGT